AACCCTAAAACCCTTAGAACCCTGAAACCCTGAACCCTAAAAACCTAAACCCGAAAACCCTAAAACCCTTAAAACCCTAAACCCCCTAAAGCCCCAAAACCCTAAACCCTGAACCCCTAAAACCCTGAACCCCAAATCCCCCAAACCCTAAACCCCCAAACCCCTAAACCCCTAAAGCCCTAAACCTCTAAACCCTAACATCTCATCTCCCCGGCTTCAGGGCCCCCATCTCCGCTGCCAGAGCAGCTCAAAGCCCCAGGTGGATTCCAGCTCTGCCTGGCGCACGAAGTGAGGCGCCCGGACCTGACCGAAGCTCAGGTTTGCTTGTTAGGGGTTCTTAGGGTTTAGGGTTTAGGCTTCAGGGTTTAGGGTTTATTCACGAAGCTCACGTAGAAACGGAATGCCCGCCTTTGCTATTTGGGGTTTTTTCCCCCCTCTCGCATGGCTGAGGATCTATGCCGACTAGCAAGGTACCATGGGGGGAGCAACTTACGACTGTGCCTTTGCAATGTAGATCAGGCCTGTGAAGATGCATAGCCCTAATTAAGCCCTAGCGAGCGACACTGGCCCAAGGATCTCTAACGCAGGAAACGATCCTTGTCACGAGTCACTTTTTAGGGTTTCGACTCACACTCGCACAAGGCTGGCATGGCTGACGAAGGTCCGCGCTAAAAGGGTTTAGGGTTTAGGGTTTCAACATCTTTCCAGTCCCTGCCCTTTTCGACTTCACCTGACCTTCGGTTTCCCTGGACCCGACTCCACTGACAGCAGGGTCACTGGAAGCAGCAGGGAAAGGCTTGGGACTCCAGCGAGTCAGGCGGCCACTTGCAGCTCAACAGGCACTTACTACCGCAAGGGCCTCAATGTAGGTGCAGGTCAACTCATCTTGAGGACGTAGATCTCGCGCTGCTCGGACAACTAGGCACGAAGGGAACGGCAGCCTCGCATGCAGCCCGTGTGAACTCGTCTCTGAGATCATCTACCCGCTATCACGAACTTTCCGGCGGCTACTGAAGTTGAAAAATACAAAGTCTGAATCGACCCTTTAAGGCGTAAGGGGTGATTGGCAAGACTTTTAAGTTCCCACCTGGGAGATCCCGGCATGCCACTATCCCTGCCTGTTGACGTTTGGTAGGCAAGAGTGGTTCAGTAAGCTGCCATCCGCGTAGATGGCCATGCCATGCCGGGGCTGCGCTTCGATGGTCTTCAAAATCGATGGCTTCACAACCATCTTCAGCACCGCCATTCCATTGAAAGCGGCAACACCTCGGAGCCTCGGAATCCCCGGAGCTTTCGAAGTGGCAGAGGCCGGCCCCGGCCAGCCACGCAACGGACCCAGCGCTGTCAGCTCGGAGCCCTCCTGGACGGCGCTGCGCCAGCGCAGCGCCAGCAGCTTGGCTCGGCTGAAGGCACCGACTGTGTTCCAGTCCTGTTGGGCCGCAATGGCAAATTCCTCTCCACTGGCCTGGGCAAATCTCGCAAGGTTCGTGCACCGGACATGCACGGACAAATGGGATCGATGCGCCGAATACAGGTTACAGGCAGTACCTGCGGCCCAAGGACGCACGGCTCAGCCAAGACAGCTTGCTCGGCCAGGACCTTGTTGCAGTTTGCACGGCACTTCATTCGTCCAGCCCTTAAGCGGAGCAGAAATTGAGCAGGAAATAGTGCATAATGGCTTTGTCAAGAATGCACATATGTATACCATCCAGACACTAACGCACCTAGATAGTTATGGATTCGTTTTGTTTGGACATATTCCCCAAAGGCACAACATCGCCAGGCGCTGCTGTTGCACCTCTCAAGCCACGTCCACGCCCGGCTGCACTGAATACTTCGAGGTCCTGTGCAGCGCTGCTTATAACCTCGAAACCTTTGTGTTTGTATCTTGTATGTATGCGGGTATGCATGTGTGTGTAGACGAGTTTGTATGTATGTATGTATGTATGTATGCATGTATGCATGTATGCTGTAGACATGTCATCATGTGCATGTCCATATGCATCACATGCACGAGTTGCAATCCACGCATGCGAACAGAAGCACGGAAAATAACTCATACCGCGACAAATGTATTATAATGCATACACAAGCGTGTACGACGTCTAACTGCCAACAAAAACAAATCGTTTGCACAATAATCGCCCATCAACAAGCATATTTGTAAATCTACTCATAGATGGATCGATGTTAAACAGATAGACAGATAGATGGATAGATAGATAGGTAGATAGATACATAGATAGATTTTTTGCCTCCCGCCTTAGATAGATAGGTTGATAGGTTGAACGATACAGAGACTGATCGACAGACAGATTGATTGATTGGTAGGTTGATTGATAGATTGATTGATTGACATGATAGATTGATAGGTAGGTAGGTAGGTAGGTAGGTAGGTAGGTAGGTAGGTAGGTAGGTAGGGCAGGTAGGTAGATAGATGGATAGAAGAGGTTGGTCGTGTTGAGTCTGGGAAATGGTGCAGAAAAGTCTCAGTGCGCAACAAAATCAGGTAGGCACCGGTCTGTACACTTGGGAGCGATGGACAGTCTTAGGCATAAGCTACACATCCCAACTTACATATTCAATCGCTCTCTTTATCGCTCCTCTGCGCATGCACAGTTCCCCCTGCGCACCCACCGCCGGAAGCGTGCATAAAGTGTCCTCCCCAACCTCTTGACAAACTTCTCCCGCTTCCAGCAAGCGAAGGCCGAACCCATCAGCCGCCATGCACATGCACAGGTGGGAACTGAAGGCATTAGTGAGACGTGCTGCACATGTGCTTGCTGCAACAGCATGAATGTCTTTGGCAGATGCGGGCTTGTGTTGAAATGTGTTGAAGTCCGCACTTGCAAAAAGGTTACATTTTGAAACGCTGCGGAGGGAGACAAAGCAAGAATCGGTAGGCAGTAGGCCGCCAGTTGCAGGGTAAATCAGCACGGGGCTCAGGCATCCCACAACAAATGAAGGACGGAGCAACACTGCACTAGACCAAGTCAAGCCCCGCGCAGATTCACAGTCTGGCCAACCTGGCAAGTCAAAAGACGTCGGAAGGACGTCCTGACTTCTGCTGTTCAGACCGCAACCTCTCCTCTCGCAGCATCCAGCGAATCACTTGCCATCCCAAATTCGTCCATCCAGTGCATGCTCACGCTTGCTGTTGCTGCGCATAAGGAATCCCTTGGACTTCACCAGATTCAATGCTACCAGCTGTTCCTTCCGGCATACCTCTGCGTCAAGCTCGGCCAGCTCCAGCCGCTTCAGCAACCTTTGGCGAACCTGATTTCTTCAGACATTCCCACCGAGCACGCGCGCCCTGGAAGGTGGATGGCATATGTGTGTGTGTGTGTGCGCGGTTTTATATGCATTCATACATACACACACATGCATGCATGCATGCATACACACATGCAGACACGCGGTGGCATGCATACATGCATACACATACATACACACGTACAGTACAGGCAGCCGTACAGCCACCAGAGATACAACATGTAAACACACAGACATGCATGCATGATTACATACATGCGCACGTGCATAGGGACAGACAGGCGGACCTTCACAGAGAGACTCAGAGAGAGGGGGAGATCAGACATGCAACCCTGAACGCCCCTTGATATTTGCGGATCCCATACCAAAAACGTCACGTCCAAGCCTGGGATCCTCGTAAAACGGGGCAATCGGGGCAACCCCTGACGCGACCTCAACAGATCTGGCTGTGGCTCTAGGTAAAAAAATGATAGGCATAGGTAGTTGCAGCTGCTGAGCTGTGATAACTTCGCGATCCCGAATTTTCGCTTCTGCCTAGCTGATTTATTATATAGTATCGAAAAAAATTCGCTTCTGCTTAGCTGATTTTTATATAATATCCAAAAAAACAAACTTCGACGGTGGCCAGGCTGGGGAGCATGCCGCCGCTAAGCCGGCCGGGTCTGGCTCCCCGGGATCTGTCGGCCTTTCCTGCGGAATCCAGGGTGCTTTGATTTTTTGTCGCCTTTGTGTCGAGCCGGCTTTTTGGGCTCTCACGACTCGCACAAGGCGGGCCGGTTTGTGTCTGGGGGCTTCAGGCTCCAGGGTTGTACGGCCTACAGTGCAACGAGTTTGTTTTTACGTTCCGGAAGAATCGACGCCGACCCTCGGGTTGATAAAAGCTGGACTCCAAACGCAGCCTGCTTGACCTTCAGCTCCAGTTGGACCAAAGCCACCTGGGACCGGGAAAACCACTTCTTTTCAGTAGCGGCCACTTGGCAAAAACCCAGGATCGCCAACATACAAGCGCCTTTGGCACGTTCAACGTCACGTCAAGCTTTCACATGCCGGGTGAACGTAAGCGACGACCGTGCACTATTGTCTCCGTCTGCCTGTGTTGGAGGTCTTGGGTTGTCTCGAGATGTGTCTGGAAAAACTTCGATGGGCGTACTCTCCAAGGCCTGAAACTGTCGCGAAGGGCACGTCATCAAGCGATGTCAGCTACGAACTCGACTTTGACTAAGCCCATTGCATCATCACGCAGTCCGTCGATATCCCACTCCTGAGGTGAATCGTTTCGTCTAGGACGGCTCAAACAAAGACCACCACAACGCTGAGTGGTCGACTCCGCGAACCTCCAGCAAAGCGAAGGCATCACTGCGCCAAAAGGGGCAAGGCTCGGGTCTCCGACCCAGTAGTCTTCGGCGTTGACGTCATCGCCACCTGCGAGCTCCGTGTTGGGCAGCTCGGTGAAAACAGGGGAAGGGTGCAGACTCCGAGCATGTCGCGACAGCCCGACATCCTATACAATGTACCTCAAAGCAGTGAAGAATCGGGTGTCCAGCTATGCGCCTTTAGCCAGCTCCGACAGCAGGTGCGCTACCTATGGCAGGCGGCACGAGGTCGGCTGTACTACACTCGGTTCATCTCGGTTCTGTCACCAGAATCTCTGGCCTCGCCCGTCGGCTTTGGTACCTCCTGCACTGACTCTGGGGTCGCACCAAAAAAACGAAACAAGTGGAAAAAAAAAGAAACAAACCAGTACAAGACAGTCCTGGGAGTTGTCGGGCGCCGCATGTGCTTCGAGGAGACCTGCGACCACGCTAGAGTCTTTAGACTCCAAATTCGGCCTCTACCTTCCAAACGAGCAGTTGAAGTCCGGATGCACTACACTGGGCTGACATGCGTTTCAATCGACAGTCTCTGGAGTCTTTGCGACATCGTGCGGTTCATCATGCCAACACGTGAGACCGGAACCGAACTGTGAGACAAAGGCGGGAGTCCACCCAGCAGAATTGGCCCCAAGCCTGAGGATTTGGTGGAAACTGACTGGACGAAAGCGGGTTTAGGGTTGAGGGCCGCAGCTCCTGAAGCGTAATCATGACCGGGTAATCCTCAGGCTCGCGAAAGGAGAATTGCTTATGGTGCAACTGCACCAACGCTGGCCTTCTTCACGGAACAGATCATGTACGGCTCGAGTTACTCGAGCTGTGCACGGCATCGGAAAGGCATTTGGACGGACAAAACCCTGCGAGAGATGCTTTGCATCCGCAGGTTTCGGGGCACAAGAAGGCAACTGGTCGGAAAAGGTCTGGAAAGCCCTCGCACCATCTTACGGAAGTGACAAAATCGGTGTCGTTGACTAGAAGCCGGGGACAACCCTCACTCAACATAGCTTGAACGGTCTGATTCAACATCGTCAGCATGTTTGCTTGAGCTAAATTCTGACCGAAGAAGGACGACACGACCGGCACGTAGTTCATCCAAAACGATCGCCATCCTTCGGATGTGGCCGCGACATCCGTACAGGGCGTCGCAGCGTCAGACTCCTTCAGACAGCTTTCGGAACACCCTTGCCGAGCAACCTTGTACCAGGTCGAGGTTCCGGCGGAAGCACAGCCGCAAGTCGCCCCACAAATGTAACGCAGCATCCGTGCCTCTGGCAAGTGGCAGAGGTCCTGCAGCTCCTCACAAGTAGTGGCATTGCGGCCGAATTTCGCCACCATGGACTGAAAGCGTGGCTCGATCAGCGACATGGCCACAGGATCCCGGTAGACTCGACCTGTCTCTTGCAGGACCTGGGTCTCGAAGCAGATTGGGAACGTGGAAGCCTCCTCGGCCATTGTTCGGACCTGGTCCGTATCGAAGGCCTGCGAGGTCGCTGAGAAGACCATGTATCGAGGAAGGGCTTCAGTGCTGTGCTTAAACTCCTCCACGGCCACTTCGCTGGGAAGAAGCTCTATGCCTCTCTCTGCCTGCGTCCGTAGTGCATAGGTCATCTGGATGTCCTGATTGTAAGCGACTACGAACTCCTGCGTTCCACCACAAAGCTCGTACTTCACCGCTTGCATGGCGTGGCCAAGTGGGGCCAGCATGAAGAGGTAGGGCAGAACAAGAGCAAAGGCGAGAAGGCAAAAGTTACATCCAGACTCGACTTGGCTTCTGACCTGACTGATTTTCACCTGCATGGGCTCCAGCGATTGGATAAGCAATCTGGCTCTCAAGGGCACCAGGGCATGAAACATAAAGTCGTCGATGTCCAAGATGGCCTCGAGCGCGACCGCATCGAGTATCAACGATGAGATAGATGTGGTGGATGCTAGAAGACGGATCCCGGCCACCAGCAAGAGGCAGTCCATGGCAAAGCACACGAACAAAATGGATCCGAAGCCATAGAAGCGGTTCTCGGAGAGTTCGGTGAAGCCGAAATTGTCATTCATAATGGTGTAATCGGATCGTGGAATCCACGACCAAGCCTCCATGACCAGCCCCATGCGCCTCACGTCCTTGTACACGCGCATGCACCACAGGAGGATGCAAAGGACGCAAAGCATTGTGCCTGGGCTGAAAGAGCTCGGTTCAAAGTCGTGGAGGCCTAAACCAAGGAATTTGTTGATCTCCTCCACAAGCTCTGCTTGGGTCGTGGATACGATGAGAGCACCGTCTCCTCGGCAGACGCGCGAGGTCAGACTAGTCTGAGCGAGGTCCATGTGCCTCGAGTCGTGGGCCACACTGTTGCGCCAGATTCTGGCAAGCTCCACCTTTTCCTCGAAAGGTCGCTCGAGGAAGAACTCGGACATTAAAATCATGATGAAGGCCGCCTGCATGGCTAAGCTCACCAATGCCAGAATGAACGTGAAGCACGCATCCCAGCTGCCAGTCCTCCCGAGGCCAACAAGCGCAAAGTAGGTCCAGATGTCACGGTTGAAGGCCACCCGCATGTCATCTTCGGTGAGAGCGTCCACATCTTGGGAATCCACGGAACGCACCTTTAGATAGTTTGGTTGACTCTTTTTATCCGTGGCCTCGTCCTTCAAGGAAATGACCTCATGCATGTTTTTGGGCGAGGCGATGGCGACCTGAACGGAGGCCGACAAGCCGTCGGTCTCAGTGAAGTTCTCTGCCAGGCCCAACTTCTCTTCGAGGACCTGAACACGATCCCGAAGCGGCTGCACGGCCATCTCCTGGGCTCTTACTTGATGAGGAGCTTACGTGAGGCAGGGACTTATGGTGTCCTTCTTCTGGACCGCTAGAAGATTAAGTTCCTTCACAAGAACCCAGTCTCCATCTCTGCGGTCAACATCATCTCGAGAGCCCTAAACCTGGCTTCAAGGTCCACTCCGGCATTGCCTGGTTCGCACTGTAGGAATGCCAGAGCCATGGCGGGGCTGTCGGGAGGGGCCTAAACTTATGCAGCCCCCGCCCTCCGGCTCGAGACGGATGTGTCACGGACATGAGGCCAAAATGAGGTACTTTCATGCAACATCTGCGCAGCACCACCCTTGAGCGTCTGTCGGCGGAGATGCTTCTCCCTGGCCTTCGACATCACTCAAAGAGAGCTCCTGGCCGGGAGATCCAGAGCTCACAGGACGGCACAAGAAAGGGCGCCGTCCCACCTCTGCTTGACGCGCCTCTGCCGCTGGGACGCGTGCTGGGACGCGAAAGATGCTCCTGAAGTGATGCGAAGTGTCCGCTTGCTCCGCTTGTTGTCGGTATATGCTGTTTAAACATTGGACGCCCGTTTTCAATGCACGAAGAAAAATGTGAGATCAAAGGGCCCCTGCGGTGCCACGACAGCGAAATCAAGCTTCACGTATACAGGCTGCTGACATGCACTGTAATTTACAGGCGACTGCTCTTTTGGCCTGCCGTTGTGGGTGCCTTCTTGCTCATCTTCTTTCTGGCAAGGCCTCTTTGTCAACCCAAAGACTGCGCAAAAGGCCCCCTCCTTGACTTTGCCTGCTCAATCCAGTCCAGGTTTGACAGCAAAGCCTGGCGCCAGAGCAGTAGTTTTCACAGAACTCCGGCTCCCATAGCTAGCTCTGGCTTTACCAAATTCCAGCATCCGTGCGCCTCGGAGAGGCCCTGGCGAAGCTTCTGTCGCCATTCGTGGGTGAGGCCATCCATGGCAACCTCCACTTGCTTATAATATAGAGACGCGGGAAGACGACGAGAATACGCCGGAGGCAGCAAGGCAAGGCAAGAGAAGAACAAGCCTTTCGCAGGGGAAAAAAAGGCGCCTCGAGGGGACTGCCCCGAAACACGGGCCCCTCCTCACTCGCACTGCGAGAGAAGAGTTTCAGGAAACGACACTTTGCAGAATAATGATCACAGAACTCTGAGTAAAGAAGAGCTACAAGCTACCGTGTTTGCACTTAGGTTTAGGATTGGGTGATGAGGCGAAAGCACAGAATCGGGAACAGCGACAAGAACGCTGCGGGTCCTCGGACTCGGAGCCTTCAAACTCCAAGCCGTCACTGGCAGGCTCTTGCGGAGGGTCTTCAGGAAGGTCTTGAAGGTCTGCGAAGTCCGATGGGCCCTCTGTGGGTAGCTGCGCCACCTCATGCTCCACCGCCTGAACTTCCTCTACCCTCCGCTCACCCCGCTGAGCCACCTTTTTCAGCAGCCGCGACATCTTCTTCTGGAGCTCCTGAACCTCGGCCAGTTCCGCCACCAGCCCGTCCGCCTCGTTGGTTGGAAGAACCGGGCCCTCCTCGCGACTCCCCCCTTCACAGCGGGCCAGTGCAGAATAGTCATTGGAATAACTATAGCAATCGAGCACAAGCATAAGAATTTCGATAGCTATGGTCGCCATGGGTGAGGATAGCCCGTGTGGCAGGATACCGTACGCTTCAAGAAAAGCCTGCCAGCCACGTGTCTCCCATCCGAGTATATTCCTACCACCCCGACATAGAACTAGATTTCCCGTTCAGTCAGGATTCGTGAGGCATCGAGGGGCTACCGAAGGCTGGGTTCTCCGCCGTTTGTGGCCTTCAAGCTGAAGTTCGGAATAGTTGGAATCAGTATAGCACTCCCGGTGCTTTAGGCATGGTCCAGGCGTGGCAATAAATTGGCTGGCCAAGGATGCGTCTGGACAAGCCAGCAGTCGTCATCCGGGGAGCTGAGTCAGGTATTCATCATCGCACACAGCACCAAGGAAACTCTGGCCGTGCAACGCCAAGTCAGGCGTTGAGCCCGGTCGCCGTAGTGACGCGCGCACGTCAAACATGCCTAGATATAGTGTAGCCGGGCACAGATCTGGCAACCCAAGAACATATACATATATATATATATACACACACACATACATATGTGCACAAAACCCTGCGACCTGCTATGCATTTGTACATCGGGGTCTACGGGGCGGCCTCCTTCACGCATCTTCGGGCGAGACTGCAGTGACCTCCTTCATCATCTATCGTTAAACACGGTGGTGGTGATAATCGCTGTCGTCGTCCAAGCAGTAGGAGGAGCGACAATTTTTAAAAGCAACAAGGAAACCGATAATGACAGAAGTGGCCATTATTTCTTACCAGTGCTTCAACAGCCAAACCCCCCAACCCCCTGCCAACCACATAACGGTCATGATTCTACGACAGGAGCAATAAGAACTTGCATCTTAGCTGTAGTTTGCTTCGCCGCTTCGGGTCCTCGGACTCGGAGCCTTCGAACTCCAAGCCGTCGCTGGCAGGCTCTTGCGGAGGGTCTTCAGGAAGGTCTTGAAGGTCTGCGAAGTCCGATGGGCCCTCTGCGGGTAGCTGCGCCACCTCATGCTCCACCGCCTCAACTTCCTCTACCCTCCGCTTACCCCGCTCTTCAAGAATGGGGGGCGGATCTGCGTCGGCTGGGCCCTCTGTGAGCGTCGCTTTCTCCGGGCTGGGCACCTTGGCCGGACTGCGATCCTCGGGCTGCACAGCCTCTAGCATTACCACAGCACCGTCGTCATCCGCCTCCACCGCCTCGACTTCCTCGACTTCCACGACCTGCTCACCCTGTGAGACCATGCTGAGGAGCCGCGACATCTTCTTCTGGAGCTCCTGTGCTTCGGCCAGTTCCGCCACGAGCTCGTCCACCTCGTTGGGTGGTCGGCTCGGCTCCACCGGAAGCGCCAGCACAGCCGGCGCAAGAGGTCGTAAGCCTCTCAGCAACCCGCGCCCGCTCCGCCTTCGAAGCGGCCGGCCTCGGCTTTGCACAGTCGGGCCTCTGAAAGCCGCTTACGGTCCTTCTTTGAGAGACCGGCGCTCGGCTGAGTCCGAAGAGGAGATGGCGGTGATGTCCTCTGCCCTGACCAAGGCCAAGGGTTGCTTCGGAGATTCCTCGGCCCCTTCTTCCCTGCCGCCCTGCCTCCCGCTCGCACGAGATTGAGGCCCAGACAGCGATGATTCCTCCAACAGTACATTGTCGCCGGAAATAAGCCCGGAATTCTCAAGTGTTGTAATTAACGAATCAAGTTTCCGGCGACGCCTGGGGCAAGCTGTACTCGGCAGCGCGCCTAAGCATGGTTGAACCGCTCCACTGCTTTCATCATCTCGTCGGTCTGCTTCAGGCTCGGGTGGCTGAGAAGCCCACGATGCCCTTAAACCCTGAATGCCCTCCGGGGAGTCTTGTTTTTGCAGCGAGACAGCGGAGATGCCAGCTGCATTCCGACAAGAACGAAGCAAACAATCGAAGCAGAGCCGTAGAGTGACTGCAAAACCCATAGGCACACGTGAAAATGGCCCGTTTGGGCGGTCCTTCATGTAAGCTGGTCCAAGAGTCTGCAAAACATGGTGCAAGCTGCTGTCGCTGTCTTGATGACAGGATGCAGCCTCTCGAAACCCGGTTGCAAATTGCAACGAGGACCGGGCCCTGAGCCTGAAAGCAATGCCTCGGGTCCCGTCATATATCAGCGGAAGTCGTGCCTGCGACTTCTTGCCGTGCCCCGAAAGCTCTGCCACATTCGGGCACAACTTAAACGATTCGGCGCGTGGTCGAACACCAGGATCGAGCTGGAGAGATGAGTCTAAAGGCTTTGCTGCCCCAGTCAGCTCTCCGGCTCCTGGAAGATGAAGAGTTCACCTATAGTCTCCATTGTAGTTCCTTTTTGGGGGATACCTGATGGGCTCCTTATAATATATGATTGGATCAACCAAAAAAAGGAACTACAGTGGAGACTACAGGTAAGGTGAACAAGAGCACATGGCTGCTGTCTTTTGACATGCGGCCGCCTCCCCGATATTTCTTACCTTTGCAAACTAGTGTCAGAAATCCCAAGCACGCCAAGGTCTTCGGCTCTCCCATAGTTTCGATGTGCTCTCTTCGGCCGTCCGAGACTGCTCTTCAGCATTACTTGGCCCGGGGCCTATCTTCAACCCGCTCCCTGGGTCGACGCAGGCCCAAGGGGCCCAGTGAGGGATCTCCTGGAGACCTGCAGCTTGTTACCAACCCTGCCCTTTTTTAAGGCCACTCTAGTCAACTCTAGTCTATGTCTATATACCCTACCATGGTATGGTTCCTTTTTTTGTGGGCTTTGCTACATCCTACTTACGATGTGCTAGATTCATCGCTAGCACTTTCGACTCTCACACTCGCAGACAGGCAATGCTCCTCGTAGCAGTTTAAGATACAATGCAAGCTGCAGGTCCTGACCATGTCAGCAACACCATGCTGAGGGCCCCCGCTCGGAACGATCCCTCTGTCATTATTCAAATACACACGGTGGCTGCTCGAGATCATGGCCCCTTCATTAAACTGACTCTAGGGTTTCGACTCACACGCGTGGGACAAAGGTTTAAGTTTAAGGCAGTAAGCTCAATCCTTGCTCTTTTGCCTCTTGGTTACCGAAAAGGGCCGACGATTTCAAGCAAACACCCAAATGGCCATGGAGGTCGCACGGGACCGGACTGAAGCCAAGTTGCAGTTCAATCACCTTACATACTTGGACTTTTCTTCGCATAAATTTGGAAACTATCACACGTAGTGCGCCCTTCCGGCAAGGCGGCGAGTTTCCGTGGTCCATGGCTGTAAGCAGACTCAGCAGAGAAAATCGCAATGCTTCTGCCAAGTTGGACTGAGAACCTGTTCTCCGAAATCAGCTGTTGTGTACTATCTGGCTTGCAGTAGCCCAAGAATTCCCTTGGGCATTGATTTCACTCTTTGCCGCAACAAGAGGCATGCTGCCGGGTCCTTGGCAAGCACAACTTTCTACCAGCCCCGAAGCTTCGACTTCAACCAGAACTTTTCAAAATCCAATTTAGGGTTTAGGGATGTTTAGGGTTTAGGTGTTTATTTTTTCCCTCTCGCAGTCGCATGGCAGGGTTTAGGGTTTAGGGGTTTAGGGGTTTAGGGGCTGAGGAGATTAGGGTTTAGGGAAGCCGAGTCTCAAGCCAGGGCTTCTACGCAAAGCCATCTTGGGCCTGCGCCTTCTCGTGCAGGGCCTTGGGGTTTGGAGGAAGAGCTTCGGCTAGATGTGGCCGGAGGGCGGAGGTGAACAGGACACACCAGGCCGTGCTTCAGAAAATGAGGGACCCAAGATGTAAAGACCCCAAACTAATCGGCTCACACAGCTGTTCCTCGCCTCCAAGATTTCTGGACCGGGATACCATCCCGCTTCCTGCATCGCCTGAGGGTGCGGTTGCACTGTCGTGTCTGTTCATCTTTGCTTGGATTTTAAAATTTTAGGGAGGGGGGGGGGGCGTCAGGGCATGGTGCACCCGGCAGTCCAGGAGTCTTAGCACAGCACCGAACAGTCCTGGCTCCGAAATCCCTTTCCTTCCTTCCAGACAGCGACAGACCGCCCCGCCCCAGTCAAGGCCCGAGAATGCCGGTGCATCGTTTGTCTCGCTGGTATTTGTACAACCTGTCTAAACTCGTTTTCGGGCCCACCGCAACCTATGCGGAATCAGCCATGAGAGCTTGCACCATGACTGTGCAGGAGAGGTCGCATGGTGATGGCTGAAGCATGTGGCGAGAGATGGACCACCAGGCGTCTCGCTTCAGAGCGCAACTCTGAGGTCTGGGCTTTGTCAAGGAAGACCTTGAAAAACTGCCTCGGCGTTGAGGGGTGCTTGACATCTTGGAAACCCTGTAGACACTGACCCTTAAACACTCGTCCATGCTGAAAACCACGCATTGCCTCTGATAAGGAAACCTTTATTCTGTTGCTTGCAAGCCGCTTCGACAGCCCATTGGAGGCCTCGAGTCAGCCACTGGCAGTCGGAGTAGCAGTAGCACGAGGAGGGGTAGGGGCAGGAGCAGGAGGGAGAGGGAGTGGTAGTAGGAATAGGACCAAGAGGAGTAGCAGTCGTAGTAGTAGTCGTCGTAGTAGTAGAAGCATCTGCAGTGTAGCAGCGGTGCTGGTGGTAGTGGTGGTAGTAGTAGTAGTAGTAGCAGCAGCAGCAGCAGGAGTAGTAGTAGTAGTAGCAGCAGCAGCAGCTGTTGAAAATGTTGTTGTTATTGTTGAAGTCGGAGTGGGAGTAGGAAAAGGAGGCGGAGGCGGGAGGAGGAGGAGGAGGAGGAGCAGGAGTAGGAGCAGGATTTAGTAGGGGTTAGGAGCAGGAGCACGATTTAGCAGGGGTAAGAGTCAGAGTTGGAGTAGAAGTGGGAAAAATGGCAGTACTAGTAGTTGTTGTTGTTGGTTCGAACCCCATTGTTACTGCTTCTGTTTGTGTTTCTGTTGCTGGTGCTGTTGTTGTTGTCGTTGCTGTTGTTGTTGTTGTGGTTGTTGTTGTTGCTGTTGTGTCGAAAGCTTGTACTGAAGCACTTTAGGACATGCAGAAACCATCTAGCAAGGTGCTGCATTGACATGTACAGGAAGGCCTTTGGCATGGTCTTAAGGTCTATGTACATAAGTCTAGGTCCGCACTTTCGCACCGAGCGGCGGCAGTCTGATCACAAAGGTGGATGCTGCCATCCCTCGCCACCCAAAGGTACTGCGGATGGGTGTTCCTTAGGCGAAGCCCCATGCACTCAACCCGAACCCTCGGGTTGCCTAGGATTTGATGACTCTAAGCCTAAAGGGGTTAAGGGCTTGCGGTGGTGACGGGGACCTAGCATTAGAGTAATACCAAATTGATGCCTGATGTGCTTCTACTGCCATCCCAGACTGTCTGAGTGACGACACACTCCGAGAACTCCGAGAGCTTTTTATGCAGCTTCGCTAAAGTAGTCGCGGACCTGAGATGCAATCGCGTTGAGGCTGCACGCATGCATCAAACTCTGAACGAGCTGGCCAGCTGAAAAGACTTGAGACTGAAACGAAAAGACTCGTGGAGAGCATGAGCTCCTTCTGTACGGAATGCCCAAAGGGAGGAAGTGGGCGGGTCGAAAAAGGCTACGGGAGCAAGTTACAAGTGGGGATTTCAAGCAGCACTCGGCACAAACATCGCAAGCTTTACATTGATGCCTGAAGTGCTTCTACTGCCATCCCAGACTGTCTGAGTGACGACACACTCCGAGAACTCCGAGAGCTTTTTATGCA